GTCATCCATGAAAGTGCTGTATACCATTTGCCCTGCAGTCCAGCATTTTAGTGGCCCTCGTTAGGCACGAGTGTAACATCACTACCAACGTTACATTCCACAATAAAAACCGCAATAAATAAATAAATAAATAATCCTTGATTTGATTTAGTGCCTTAAAATCATGTCGAAAAATAAATCTCAAAGCACTTCACAGTACCGTGAAGTCCAGTGACTGTGCGTCTGTATTTTTAAGTGAATGTCACAACCGATTTGCGTACAGCGAACTCCCATAAATAGCCATGAAGCAAATGACCAACGTTTTCCGAAGCACTGATGACCAGAACACCGGGAGAAATTCCCTTCTTTTTCCGGATAGCACCATGAGATCGTCAGCATGCAACAGAACAAACAGATTGTCCAACTGCTGTCCGACAGCTCATGCTGATCAAGCAGCCACTATTCCCACAGAATACTTTGCAGCAATAGCGATGATGACCCCCCACCCCCCCCCCCCCCACAAAAAAAATTCTCAATACTAGTGGAACCACTTCCTCTGTAGTCACTCAACCAGATAACATCATATGACTCTGCCTTCTACACGGTTCCTGTTTTTTTTGTACATTCTTCAGACATCACCAATCTCTTAGGATCTTAAAAATCTGAATAAGGTGGCAGATCCTATCAGTGGTGCCTGCAGCGCCCGAGGCCGGCTGGCTGGTCGATGTGCACGTATATACACATTCCATTTGTGAACCCTCACGCGGAACTAACCTGACGAGTTTGTGACTCACTGGCTGTCCGTTCAGGTTCATAAGTGGTATTGGTACCCAAACCAGCATCGGGATTCCGGATGTGGTACTTGATTGGTGAGGGAGCCATCTTATCAATAAAATACGGTTCAAATCCTAATCAAGCTCGGATTTTGCAAAACACATAGCAAATTGGGTAGGCGGTCTACTCATCCTATCAATGATATGAAAGCATTTGTAGTGCGTCCCTGATATTCCTTAAGCATTTCGAGATGTTCTTCTTTCGTGAACAGCATTCTGTAAAGTTGTTGACGTACGAAAATGGATCAGTTCTTCAGGTGGTCGGCTGATTTCTACAGTGCTTTAATATTTTAGATGATTTTTGTGGAGGGCTGAGATGTCAATACCATATCGCAATGCCAAATGCGTTCCCTTTACTATATTCTTTGCGTCCAAAGTGATTCTCTTAGTGATGCTCCCTAAAGGTGGCCCACATGTGCGAACAGCTATCACCACTCAGTTTTTAGTGTTCCACTTTTAGATATTCTCCATTCTGGGCCCTGACTATCTCTTTGGATCTCTCATCTGAATGCTCGCATCTCTGTTGCCAAAGTTGTCTCCAACAAATTTGTTTTTTTCTTTTGGTCCAAGCACGTTTCTTTCCCTAAACCATTCTTAACTCCTTCTCAGGTCCATCCAAGCCTGGAATACTTTTCCCATATCTGGGAATCTCTTCTAGAATTGCTCTCGCTCTCCTGGAGAGGATATAAAAAGCCTCGTCTGATAGATGACTTCTAACCTTCAACCTCTCTCTCTGCCATAACCACTCTTTTTAAAAAATGTTATCAATATTATTTTAATCATTGCTCCCACTGCACCTCACAAAAACTCTATGAAGCGCACTATATCATCTTGAGTTATTCTCAAGATTATAGGCACTATATCAAAAGGAGCATCAATTTGATATTATTATTATACGTATATAGCTTTGGTGACCTTTAAATCCCTCCACAGTCTTGGACCACCCAACCTCTGTGACCTCCTTTAATCCCACTGAACTAGCAACTCCCTTTGCTCAGCGAGCACCAGCCCACTTCTTGTCTTCATCCTATCCGCACCACCATCAGCAGGCAGGGTTTCAGCTGATCTAACCCCTGTTCTCTGTAATTTCATCCTTGAATCCCTCCCACTCGCTCGCTCACACCCTGCCCCCTTGCAAGGCATGTCTCAAAATGTACCTCTTTGACCGCACTTTCGGTCATTTAGCTTCAATATTCTGGTAAATTGATTTGATAATAAAAATAATAATAATAATCCTTGCATTTGATATAGCGCTTTTCACATCTTCTAGACGTCTCAAAGCGCTTCACAGAATAGACTGCAAAGTGAATTGACTGCATATTTATGATAATCTAAAACGTAATCCTACAGGGCTGTCTAAACTTGTTTAGAATCCAGCAGTGCACTCCGATCGCTCACATTCAAGTTTGAGTCAAAACTCTGCCATTGCCTTCTGGTGTCTCATCCAAGTGGCTATTATTCTTATAGGAAATAATCTGCCGGGTTACGATATATACTTTGGGCACAGCACGTCGTGTGAACTGGATGGGATCCTGGTCTTCTTTCTCCTAGCAAATTTTTATGTTCCTATTCATGTGCGAGTCTTGAGCGCGAGCCTGAAGCTCTGTGTATTTACTGAGAAGGGGGCTGGGCACCGCAGAAGAGACGAGGCCTGTACAAGCTTGCCTTTGGCTTTGTGCAGTGACAGCAGATTACCAAGAGATGTCAGTATGACTATGAATGTTTACAAACCCACGCTTCGTATCCTGAAAGTTAAGTTCCTTATTAATACATTGAATCGTGGGCAAACTTCTCTTTGTCAGCGGTTATAAAATCCAAGAAGATGGTTGCAGCTTGGTTTAGACAAAACTGTACGTTTGAACGGTTGGCCTTAGTTTTAGCAATATTTCAGTTCTGCTCGGGTCTAAACATTTCAAATATTTATGGCAACAAATAGTTCTATACAAAATAGCCAAATATACACAAGCGTACATATGGGTAAAACGGATAACTGCACAAATAATTCTGGGATCTTGTTGTTTATGAAGAATTACAAGACGCTGCAATCTTTTAATAAAGGTGTGAGTTGGGAGACAGATAAATATTATACTGTAACATGTCACGGTAATTAAGTTTTCTAAATTTAATGAGTTGGGAGAACTAATGTATCCATTTAAATGAATGAGTGAGTTTGCTTTTCTACAGGTGTAAGCCCGATAGCACTCTTGCCTCCGAGAAAGAAGGTTGTGGGTTCAAGTCCCACGTCAGGGCTTCGAACTCACATGGTCTCGGCTGACACTCCAATACAGTGGCGATGGTGTACTCCATTGTTGGTGGCGGATGAGACGTTTAACTGAAGTCCTGTTTGCCTGTTCAGGTGGATGTTAAAGATCCCATTGGCACTATTTGAAAAGACAGTTTCACCCAGTGTCCTGGCCGACAACCTCCCAGATAAAATTGGTCATTCACTTCATGGCTGTTGGTGGGACATTTGACAGTGCGCAAATTGGCTGCCGCTATCGCTGCCTACACTTTACAGTAAAATTCTGTGATGCACTTTGCGATTTCCTCCCGAAGAGAAAGACTCCATATCAAATGCAAGGATTATTATTAGTATTGTTACACGATCATCTCGATTGTCAAACAAAATCCTTTGAAAACAAGCTTGAATGCAACCATCTTAATTTTTCTCATTTTCATTCATAAACACACAATGTTTTGTGTGTGTTTGTTCAGTTATAAACCGGCTGTTAGTGTTTACTTGTTATATCAGTAAAACTCGATTATTTATTAAATCCAGCCAGAAAGTCTGAAGGATTTACACCAGCTGGAATCATCACTTTTTGAAGTCTGAGGGCCTGCACCACAATGTTACGATTTTTGATTGATATCATTACAATATTCATAACAATAATATGAACTAGAAAAATATCATTGTCTCCCCCTAAAGGACAGTGTTTGGGGAACTTCTTCTCTTTGAACGTAAGCCATTTTATAACGGAGTGAGTAAGGGAACGCATTTCCTCCTAAAACATTTTCTTTCGCGACTGGAAGTTTGTATTTAACAGCTGCAAAGCCTGGCAACGGGAGACTGTTTATAGAATAGCGTCACAAAAGTATATGGTGTCTTAAGCTCAGTAAATTTGTTATGGCAAGTTTAAGATTCATAAGAGTGGGTAAAAAACAATGGAAACACACAGCAACATTGTAAAAGTATGTACTGTTCTGTAGCTGCTCAAATAAAAAAAAACTTTATCTTGTAAAACGTTAAATTACCAAAAGTCCCTGGATTCCCAGGTTTGAAGACGCAAACAACTTTTAGAGTTATCACATAGATCAGGGACATATCGCAACACCTGCAGATTCAGTGGAACTTTCTTGCAGTTTTGAGACGGGTATTTTTTTTTGGGGGGGGGGGGGAGGTAGAATTTTCGTGAACTTGACAGATCTCACATGACACAAAAACATTATGATTCGGGACGGAAAAATACGGTCTAACCCGCTGCTTGCACCATCCATCCATCCGTCTTCAATAAAACAGGATGTAAGACTTTCTCAAGCAAATCATTGCTGCACTTTTACGCATTTATATTTTGGTTTACACATTAAGATTTATTTCGCCCGCGCAACGAGGGGTCGGAGCCCGTGAAGAGTGCGTTCCGTGAAGCGCTTTGAGACGTCTCGAAGACGCGATAGGGCGCCGTACCGAAGGCAACGATTACGATCGTCCGACTATTATCGTGACGATCACCAAGAACTTCTTGAGCAGCAGTTCAAGAACTTGGAATCGAAGGGTGCGTAAGGTACGATCTCTCTCTCTCTCTCTCTCTCTCTCTGTGTGTCTCCGTGTCTGCGACTTGTTTCCGACAGTATTTCCTTGAGAGGTTGGAGAGCACTTGGAAAATACACCAGTAGTGGAGAGGTGTGCGTGCGGTGTATGTGCACGAAATGAGATTGTTTCATGTCAAGTCTGATAGATCTGTCAG